GAGCGTAATTGTGCACCTCGTGGAGGCTTCTGGGGTAGAAATGACTACGCATCACTTTGTCTTGGGAAATACAGTATAACATCATTTCAATGCTAGGCTTTTCAAGAAACAGCACATGGGTCCAGTGCTATAGCACAGTGGGTTAATTTGCTGCCTGTGACACCAGTGTCCCATAGAGGTGCCAGTTCAAGTCCCAGCTGCTGCACTGCTGACCAGCTCCCTGCAAATGTACCTGGGAAAGCAGCAGAGCATAATGGTCCAGCTGCTCCGCCCCCACACCCACATAGGAGACATGGATAGAGTTCTTGTTCCAGGTGGGCTTCCAGCTGGCCCAGACCTGGCCAATGCAGCTATTTGGAGGCTGAATCAACAGATGGAAAAGTCAATCTTCCTCTCTCTCTTTCTCTATAGGTGTCTATCCCTGACCCCACTGCTCTACTTTCAAACAAATAAATGAATCTTAAAAAAAAAAAAAAAAAGGAAAAGCAGAATGAACAAATGCAACAGCACAAAAGGCATGAATTAAACACAAGGCCTGAACTCAGCCCCAGCTGCAGAGCCCTCTGACACTCTTGAGCAAACGGGAGCAACACAGACTTGTGGGTACCTAAGAGGTATGCAGGTGCAAAGCAGGTGAAGGAAGGGACACTCCCCTCACCATCTTTCTCTACCACGCTCCCCTCACTGTAGGAACAGTGTAGGAACGTTATGCAGCATACACAGATCCCAATGCCGGGAGAGACAAGTGGAAGGATGGCATCTGCCAGTCCAAAGCTTAAGCTCCTTGAGACAGCCCACCCTGGCTACAGGGGAGGCCCAGGAGCAGCGCAGAAACACCTGCTCAGAGCCCTGCCTCGCAGAACCCCACGGCCCCTTCTCAGACACTCCTCCTCTGAGATGTCAGCCCCGAGCCAACTCTCCCGAGCCACGTGCACCTCTGCTTCCGCTCTGCACCGGGTCTAGCTGTTAAAATGCAATCCTGGGTGAGACTGCAGTGACTCAAATGCCTCCTTTGGTGTCTGGGAATGGTGTCAGCTGTGGTGGGGAGTGGGGCAATGACAAACGTGCAAGCCAGGTCACCCTCAAAGGCATTTAGGGGAAATACTAAGGAAAAGAAAGGTATGTAACCACCACAAGTGTACGTGTGGATATGTGTGTGTATTCATATGTATGTGTGCGTGGTGTGTGTATGCATGTATGTGTGCACATGTACATGTGTGCATTCCTGTGCGTGTGTGTGTGCATACAGGGATGGAAAGAGGCAAATGGATACAAAGTACTGTTGGCTATAGTAAGCGCCAGCAGACCCATCTTCTAAGTACCTAATATGACCCCAGGGTTAATTAACATCACCTGATCGTAAGCATGGCTGGGCACCACCTTAAGCACACAGAAGTCCAGGTCCCACCCCAGATCTACCAACCTCCAGGGAGGACTCAGGAGTCTTTATCCGCAACAAGGGCCCCCAGAAACCCTTACAGCGAAACCAGGGTCCCCAAACCACTGGACGATCCACTTCAGCCATGAGGTCGGACTCATGCACACCTGTTGGATTCCACCTCGCATTTAGCTGCAGTCAGTCTGGGCTCCACAGAGCATGTGGTGGGCCAAGTCCTTGGAGTTCCAGGTCTTCCTAAGTGCCAGTTCTCAGCACCTCCTTCACATTGGAGGCTGCTACAGCTGGGACATCTCTCCTGCCAGGTACCCCGGGACCACCAGGCTGCCCCATCACGGCTCCTGCCGTCCAGTCCCTCCTTACTTCCATTTCTGTGTCCTCCTGAGTTCCATGTGAGCAGAGACCAATGGCTAGGTTGGTTCAACCGGCACCTGAAATACTCGCTGAGGGAATCAATGAGCCAACACTGGGAAGTTCTCTGCTGACAACACCGAGCAAGAATAAGAGAGTCAGAGGTGGAGACCAACTCCAGGCACAGCTCTAGGCATGAGCTGGATGGAGACGTGGAGATTCCGCCCCAGGTGCTCTCTGCCTCCTAGCCGGAGGTCACAGGTGGCCCTGCAGATGCTCAGCCAATCAACGGAAGAGGAAGGAAACAGCTGACCCAAGACTCTACCTGGGAAGAGGCATGGGGCAGACAAGACCAGAAGAGTCACAGTCTAACAGAACACTGCTCAATGACCTGGAAATGTTACCAACATTCCCAGTAGAAAAACACTTATTTTCAAAAGAATATTAATCTGAATAAATGACATAAGGGAGCTCTTAATTTTTCCTCCTGCTAGTAGGAATAAAAACCTACAGGGAGTCTGGAGCAATGGCTCAGTGGCTAAATCCTCGTTTAGCAAGTGCTGGGATCACATATAGGCCAAGTTCACATCCCAGCTACTCCACTTCCCATCCAGCTCCCTGCTTGTGGCCTGGGAAAGCAGTCGAGAATGGCCCAAACCCTTGAGACCCTGCACCCACATAGCAGACCCTAAGGAGGCTCCCAGTTCCTTGCCACAGATTAGCTCAGCTCCGGCTATTGCAGCTACTAGGGAAGTGAACCAGTAGACAGAAGATCTTCCCAACTTTCCTTCTCTATGAAAATTTGCCCTTCCAATAAAAACAATCTTTTAAAAAAAACGCATTTGTCGGGCCCGGCGTGATGGCGCAGTGGTTAAGGTCCTCGCCTTGCACGCCCAGGATCCCTTATGGGCGCCGGTTCTAATCCCGGCAGTTCCATTTCCCATTCAGCTCCCTGCTTGTGGCCCGGGAAAGCAGTCAAGGATGACCCAATGCTTTGGGACCCTGCACCCGCACAGGAGACCCGGAAGAGGCTCCTGGCTTCGGATTGGCTCAGCTCCAGTTGTTCCTGCCGCCTGGGGAGTGATTCATTGGACGGAAGATCTTCCTCTCTGTCTCTCCTCTCTGTATATCCGCTTTTTCCAATAAAAAAAAATAAAATAAACTCTTTAAAAAAAAAAAACTTTAGGGGTTACTGAGGAAGCTGGAAGCTCCCATAGAGAGGAAGGTACAAGTGAGTCTAAAACCCAGAAGGGAGACTCCACAGGAAACAGGAAAAAAGGGAAGAAAACCTGCAGAAGAAGACAGCCACGCCTTAAACTCAGCACCAAACAGAAATAATGGCAAGTAAAAACATGATAACCAAGTTGCTACATTACACAAAAATTGTACAAAATAATGAAAAAGTCTAATTTGTGAAGTTTTTAAAAGTTAACACTTGCCAGTGCGATGGCTCAGCGCACTAGTCCTCTGCTATGCAACACAGGCAACCCAAATGGGTGCTGGTTCTAGTCCTGGCTGCTCCACTTCCCATATAGCGTCCTGCTTACAGGCTGGGAAAGCAGCGGAGGATGGCTCAAGTGTTTGGGCCACTTTTGAAGTTGCTGGCTCCAGGTTTTGACTTGGCCCAGCCCAGGCTGTTGCAGCTCTTTGGGTGAACAAATCAGATGTAAGACAGATATATCTCTTTCTGTCTGCCTCTCTCTATAATTGCCTTTGAAATATTTAAAATACATTAATTAATTAATGGTTTAGTGACCTAACGAAGCAATTAGAAATCAGCTGGGCTGGCATGATAGCCTAGTGGTTAAAGTTCTTGCCTTGCACTGGGATCCCACATGGGCACCAGTTTGTGTCCTAGCAGCCCCGTTTACCATCCATTTCCCTGCTTGTGGCCTGGGAAAGCAGTCGAAGACAGCCCAAAGTCTTGGGACCCTGCACCTGTGTGGGAGATGCAGAAGAAACTCCTGGCTCCTAGCTTCAGATTGGCTCAGCTCTGGCCATTGCAGCCACTTGGGGAGTTAATCAGTGGACGAAAGATCTTCGTCTCTGTCTCTCCTCTCTGTATAGCTGACTTTCCAATAAAAATAAATAAATAAATAGCTAAAGAAAAACTGCTAACCATTAAGACTAGTAAGAGAGTTGGTAAAGATTATTAGAGTTACAATTGACTAATCCAAACCGACACCTGGCTGACACATCCCAGCAACGAGGCTGGAGAAAAGATATCGGACTATCTGACGGAGAAGGCAACCTTGCCAGAGTCTGGAGTGGCACTGCAGAGACAGAAGAGCAGGGCTTTGGGCAGCAGAGCCCTCAGCTGCAGTTCATTCCTCCTGGGCAGCCACACTCCCCACCATCTCCCAGACTCTGCATCCCAGAGGAAGTGAGCAGGAATGGCCTCACGTGTGTGAGGGGCATGCGGCAGCAGGGCATTCAGTGAGCAGGGACTCTGCTAACCATGTGGGAGACCCAGATGAAGTTCAGGGCTCCTGGCCTCAGCCTAGCCCAGCCCTGGCGGCTGTAGACTTTTGGGAGATGAATGAACGGATTAACAAAAAAAAAAAACAATCATCCTCCCTGCTCCCTTTCCCCACTAGTATACTTCCAAGAAGAGAAAACTTAAACATTATGGGGACATGGACACAGGTGGGAAAACTGAATCATTTATCACACCCACTGTCTCCTCCCCCCTCCCACATCCTAAGCAGAATCGGACAACCACATGGATCTATCATCCCTTAACCTTCGTAATAAATGTTAAAATTAAAAGAAAAAAATATGAGGACAGCGCCACGCCATGGCAGGTTAAGCCTCTGTACACAGTGCATGCACACCATATAGCTACCTGACTCCCTGCTGATGGCCTGGGAAAGCAACAAAGGATCGCCCGAGTCCAGGGGCCGAGGCACCCATGTGGGAGACCCAGAAGAATCTCCTGGCACTTGTCTCCAGACTGGCTGAGCTCCAGCCATTGCAGCCATTTGTGGAGTGAAACAACAGATGGAACAGCTCTCTCTGCCTCGCCTTTTCTCTAACTCTGCCTTTCAAATAAGAATAAATGAACCTTTTGCAAATAATTTCTTAAAATTTAGATAAATCAACAGGCTCTAGCTTGAGCTATTCCTTGATTTTTCCCTATTGAAAGCCTGTAACACACAGCTTTTAGCCCCAGGCTACGTCTCAAACAGGAAAAATAGAAAGGACCCCCACACCCCACACCCTGCCTCAGGACCCCGGGAGCACCCAGACTCACGCATCTCTATGAACAGCTGCCTCTTCTCCGCCATGCTTTTCCGCTTGTTCCCACTTTCCTCAATCATCCTGGAGACAAAGGGAGACAAAGGGTAAACCTCAACAGAACTTGACAGTGCAACCCCAAATGTGCACCATCCTACTGGGAACAGGCACACAGGTAACCAGGTGGGACATACACTTTTAGCACACTATCATAAGATACAGAAGATACACAAGAAGATAACCCACAGTTCCTTTATCTGACACCTTTTGAAATAGCAAAAATGCAGTACTTGAATGAGCTTGTATGTTTACTTCCGGTGTTGAAAACATGGGGCCATTTCTAACTTGGATTTCTTTCTCGGTAGAGTCCTGGGTTGACTGGGACACAATTTCCTTACCACTCCTATTTATGTGGATACACACACACAACTAAATGTTGGTGGCAACAAAGAATATAAAAATGCTAGCTTATAGAACAGATACACCTAAAGATTTATTTGAAAGGTGGAATGACAGAAAGAGGAGGACAGACACAGAGAGATCTCCCATCACCAGTTTACTCCCCCACATAACTGCAATGGCTGTGGCTGGGACAGGCTGAAGCCAGGAGCCTGAAGCTCCAGCCCAGTCTCCCACATGGGTGGTGAGAACCCCCCCACTTGGACCACCACAGGCTGTGCCTCAGAGTATATGATCAGCAGGACGTTGAATCGGACCCAAGGCACAGCCAGGACTCCAACCAGGCTCCCCAGAATGGCATGCAGGAGTCCCAAGCAGCAGCCTAACCCATCCCATCACAAGGCATGCCCTCCTGTTTTTACATTCAACAAAACAGGCATTCATCACTGGACCCAAAGAGCTCCTACATGTAACTTTTCTACCACAAGGAAATAGTATTTTAAACTGACCGACTCAGCCCAGGCTGTCACTGTGTCAGAAACCTGTCACACGCATTATCTCACTGAGTCCTCACAAAATTCCTATGTGCTAGAACACCTATATGTCCTTGTTTTAAAGGATAGGAAACAGAGACTGGGAAAACCATAACTCAGAAATGATTAACATAGAATCTCATGTCATTCATTCAGTGTCTCACCCACTGTTCTTTTACATGCATATTTTCAAATCCCTATGCCTAGAGAGTCAGAACACAAATACTCCATTACATAAACATAAGTTCTTATTATTCTATGACAAAAAACCTACAGAAATAGCATAAATCAAATAATTTCTCTAAGTATATTAAAGTGTTGCAAATCATTTTTCAAGAACTGTAGAATCACAAACTAAATGGTAACTACACAAATTGCAAACCTATTAAAGCTGCATGGTTTTAAAAAGGTTAGTTTTAGGGCCTGGCATAATGGCCTAGTGGCTAATTCCCTACCTGCACCAGTTCGTGTCCAGGCTACTCCACCTTCCATCCAACTCCCTGCTTGTAGCACCCACACAAGAGACCCAAAGAAACAACAATGAGCTGCGCATGAGCTGAGCTCAGCAAGAATTTACTGAGCTCAGTGCATTGCACTGGTCCCACAGGAAAATTAATACCAACTTTGGCATCATAGGGTGAAAACAGGTCTGTGTAGCCCTCAGACCTAACAGGTTTCAGCAAGATCACCAACACAAACAGGTTCCAGGAAGGTCACCAACACCAACAACCTCGCTATATGACACCTGGTGTCTCCCTAATCCTGGGACCTGCTCCAACTGCAAGCGGGAGAAAGGTTATACAGACAACAGAACAGAACAGCCTCAGCATCACATCACAGGAGGTAGACAGTGGTGAGCCAGGACCTTGGGCTACAGAGACCATGGTGGAAATCTAACTAAATAAGAACCTAGACCTGCAACTCGCTGGAGGGAGTGGCACAAGTGACTGCAAGCAAAGAGCTGTGTACCAACCACAATAAGCAACATCGAACTGTAGACCTGTGGGTAACACAACTTAGAAACCTGCCCCAAGGAGAAGAATCTGATAACCTGAAGTACAATGACCAAGAGCAAAAGAAGAGAAGAGACAAAAGCACAATGAATATTACTGAACACTCCTCTGCAAAGGAGCTAAAGCTTTTGCCAACCTCAGAGTTTACTGAGGAAGACATCGAGAAAATGGGGGATACAGAATTCAAAATATGTGTTATAAAGCTTCTTATCAACAATGAGGAACACATAAAGCAGGCATTCAAGGAATTTAAGGAATATGTCATACTGGAAATGAATCAAATGAAAGCTGATATATCAGAAATGAAGAATACAGTGGAGCAAATTAAAAGTACAGTGAAGAGTCTCCAAAATAGAATGAATCAGGCACAAGAAAGAATCTCAAAATTAAAAGATATTTCCTGTCACCAGGGGGAAATAAACAAAAAGCTGGAAGCAGAGTTGGATCAAGCTAAAAAAAGTATTCAAGAATTTAAAGACACTATTAAAAGGCCAAGTGTAAGAGTTATGGGAGTCCCAAAAGGTGCAGAAAGAGAAACTGGGATTAAAGGTGTATTCAATGAAATAATAAGGGAAAATTTCCCTAATCTAGAGAAAGAATTGGGAAACAACAACCAGGAAGGTCGCAGGGTTGAACAAAAGCGATCTTTACCATGACACATGATAATCAAACTCTCTTCAATCAAACATAAGGAAAAGATCCTTAAATGTGCATGTGAAAAAAATCAACTAACATATAAAGGAATGAATGCCAATTAAACTCATAGGAGATCTCTCACAGGAAACTCTACAGGCCAGAAGAGAATGGAGCAACATATTCCAGATTCTAAAAATAGTACCCACCAAAACCAAAGGTAAATGTGAAGAACATCCCAGTAAAATAACAGAAGACTAAATCAACAAACAACCCATTGCTAAAATGGCAGGACCAAATTACCATGCATTCATATTAACCCTGAATGTAAGTGGCTTAAACTCATCAATGAAATGTCATGCACTATTAAACTGGATTAAAAAACAAAACCCATCTATTTGTTGCCTAGAGGAGACACATTTCACCAACAAAGATCAAGGGAAACTATATCTCATGGATTTTGATTTTTTGTTGTTGTTGGTTTCATCTCTTCAAAACACGTTCTTGTATTTGAATTCTTCACTGACTCATAGATCATACAGTGGCATCATTTTCTTCAAGAAGGCTCTTGACTTTCTTTTACATTTCTTCCACAGCACACTGGTCATTCGGCAGCATGCTATTTGGCTCCATTGTGTTTTGGTTTCTTTCTTCTTCCTGTTGGTGATTCTGTTTTGTGGCTTTTCGTTTAAGAAGATTTATAGCGGCTGTATAATGGAGACTATCGTCTCTAGTAGCATGTTATTTAACTTCATGGAATTGTATATTTCTTTTTTCTTCCTTTTGTTGATTTTGTATTGTGACTTTTCATTTAAGGGGATGTATAGTGACTGTGTAATGGAGACTATCATTTCCAGATGTGAGGATACAATGCAGTATGCATCTCTACTTCCAGACTAAAAAAGAACTCCCAATGAAACTGTTTACTATATCTTGACAATAGAATGCTAGACTTTCTGCCATTGTCCATGCCCGCAATGATGAACATATGACTGTGTGGGAAGACTATACTATAGTAATGATATAGGGGAACTCAGTGAGAGGGGAGGAAATTGGGGAAGGAATAAGAGAAATCCCAGGACCTATGGAACTGTATTATATAATGATAATAATAACAATATGAAGAATTAAAATTTAAAAATACAAAAAAAGTTAGTTATATCCCTAAAGAAAATAGAAAATGCACACATTCCTTAACATTCTGACATTATACTCTGATCAGCAAGGGCTGGACCTCTCCTAAATCATGAAGATGTCATCCAGGAGGCTTCAAGCTTTGTAACAGTTACTTAGCAATCTGTCCCCAAAACAGAAGAATTTTAAATGTAAAGTCAATCAAAAGCAACCAGAAATAGCAAAACTGAAAACAACAAACAATGTCCCAGAGTGAAAAAAACAGCAGTTGGTACCAGAAGTCCTTAATCACACACACAAAGATAATTCAAAAGCTTGTTCCTGCGGTGCTGGGGTACCCAGTAGGGCAAGGCACGGGGAGGAAGCAGGTGTCTGGGCAGCCATTCAGCTGCCACATCCCACAGCAGAGAACATGGCTGGAGGCCAATTCTGCATTCACAATTGCCCCCTGGCAGCAGTGGCAGCACCTCACCTCAGATCCTGGTAAACAGGAGTAACCAAAACCTTGGTTGGACTGGATCCAACTCGCCACCTGTTTTTGCAAATAAATTTTTATTGGTGTACAGTCACACCCATCTACGTATTCATGGTCTGTGCCTGCTTCCCATGCTATTTGGTCCAAAAGTCTGAAAGACTTACCATGATTCTTTAAGAAAAAGCTCGCCAATCTGAGCTACAGCAATAAGAAGGAATTTTGCAACACCAGGCACATCTGGCTGCTACTAGAATTCTCCAAAATTAATAAAACACAAAATGGACACCCCAGAAAAACTGGATTTCTAAAATTGACAACATGATGGTATCTTGAAATCATGCATTTATTATAAATCTGAATCAAACCACACATAAAATTACATGAGAATGATTTAAAATACCAAAGGACAGGGTCACATCACATTTAGCTGGCACAGACTCGGCCATGTGCAGGCTTCTCTCAGCTGAGAGATTCCGACATAAAAGAGACAGTTACCCAACAGCACCCCCTGCCCTGGGAGGGTGAGAGGAAAAAAGGGAGGCTCCACCTGCCCACTCAGAGTGGCCAAAGAACAGCTGCGTAAGGGACTTTTAACTCTCTTTATTCAAAACGCTCGGCCCTTGGGGACTGGCATTTAGCCTAAAAATGAAGGCACCTGCATCCCAAATGTACATGTCTAGGTTGGAGTCCTGGTTCCATTCCCAATTCCAATTCTCTGTGTCTCCTTCTCTCCATGAATCTGTCTCTCCAATAAAACTAAGTAAATCTAAAAAAGGAAGTAACCAGGGGCTGGCCCTATGGTACACAAATTAAACAGCTGCCTGTACTGCCAGCATCCCATATGAGCCCTGGTTCAAGATCCGTTATTCCACTTCCAATCCAGCTCCCTTCTACTGT